AAGGAATAATTAATTATAAGGTTGATATCTCCTATATGGCCTGTATTAAGTTTATATATTAGAGCTCTTTTCATTGTGTGCTTCAGGTTGCATGATCAATTCATTAAGTATGAAATTCTTGTGCAAGTTTGAAGTATAATGTATTAAAGAGATTCAGTTCTTTATGAACAAATGAGAGATATTGGTTATTGGGTTAGATCTAGTCCAAGTTATTAGAGGAAGTAACTGCCTCCTCTAATCATATATAAAAAGGACATAACTCATATGAAAAGGTTAATGTTTTTCATTTGTTGAATAATTATTCTCTTTTTCTTTTTTCTCATCTTGAACATTCTACATGACTTTGACAAGATTTATAGAGATGTTGGTACTGTGAAATATTACTTTAATTCTAGCAATTGAAGTGACACTAAAATAATAGATTCGGGGATAAAAAATAAATTCTCACAGATAATTTTTTTTTCTAATCTACAATTCAATTAAAATTTGAATTTAAAACATAAATTTCTAATATAATATGGAAAATGATAAGAATATATATATATATATATATATGCACGCGAGCTCGATCTGGAATCCACTGGTTAAATACTATAAATGGAGATATTCTTCTCTTTGAATGTGTATGATATTATCCAAATGCTGGAAAATCTCTGAAGCCTTTAAATGCTTGAGCTATAGAGATAGTTTTCAGCAAGCACACATGCAAGGCACCATTCATTCAGCTCATTGAGCCTTGTAATTTTCTACGCAAAAGGTGCCCTCCACCATAGCGGAAACTTTTGATTGGCCTTGTAAGGTCAAATTTATCTCCTTGGCGATTTCTCCACTGTCTTTTCACAGAAATGTAAACAAGTGTCGTTGTTGTCTTTCTCTTGATAAAATATGTTGCCTCCCTCTCGCAACGTTTGATTGAAAGACAGTCCTCTGAATGTAAAGAATTACTATTTCGTTACGTATTGTGACTTCACATAAATTTATGATGGTTTTTGTCATCAAATAACATTTATATTTATTAATTCAGTAAAAAAAAAAACCCCTTTGCTCCAACCCCACATTTGATAAAAAAAATAAAAATTATAAAAGAATAACTCAACTAAACAATTTTGAATTTATTCTTTAATGGTTATAAGTTTAAAATCTTTTAAAACCACTGGAGACTTATATGATTATTAACTTTAAAACTTATAGGATTAATTGAATTATACATAAGTTGACCTGAATATTTATTTTAATTAAAAAAATTAAACATATAAAAATTTAAGTTCTATAATAGATCTGATCATTAAATTTTTAAGCTATATGTAAGGATAATGTTCAATTCATCATCAAATTATAGAATCAGTTTTTAATTTCTATGACATAATTATTTGTATGATATAAATACTAGATTGGAAGAGTATATCTATTTTTAAACAAAATCTTAAATTAAGATTGCAATGTCTTATCTTATATTGATGGGTATGAAGATCCTGAATTAGATTAAAAAAAATTTTGCCTAATAAATTTATAATAAGAAATTTTTCCTAGATAGTAAAGATATAAATGGATGCAACTTAATATTTACTGAATTACATGATGAATAAGTGTTTGAGAGTTTGATAATTTTTATTTTGAATGTATTTTATTTTTAAAAAAATATTAAATTAATGTTATTTTAGTATTTTTTTATAATTTTTATATGCTAATATTAAAATAATTAAAAATTATTTTTGGTAACATTACCGAGCACATTTTAAATCTTTATTTGATGCATGGGTTTGACAAAATGATGCGAAAGCCAACCCTAACTAGCATAAGAACTCCATTTTATCATCTAGAGCTTAATCTTAAAATGTGATTGTGAATTTATGATACGAGTTAGTAGAATTTTAAGAAGGAAAAATGGTAAAGCTCCACAATATCCCACATGCAAGGATGTGTTGCGAGGGGATTTTAGATATATTTTGAACGGCAAGCTAGGACAAACAAACAAGTAAAATATAATTTGAACAAGCGTTCTAGCATTTATAATTAATTTTCTCCTGTTCAAGATACCACTACATGAAAGAATATCCAAGAGGTAGGTTGTCAATCAAATCTAAAATCCGATTCTCCTTTGCAGAAAAATCAAAGCCTACCCAAGATGTTTGGATTAAATATTATACAAGAATAATTGATGGTCATTACACATATGCTTAGAGTTTCATCGTGAAGCAGAAGCCTCACCATACAGAACTGGAAGTTCTTGTACTGGAAATGAATAAGATACTTGCTTCGAATGAAATCCGACTCCTCCTGGAGAATGCTTGAATCAGGTTCATAGACCACGAAGCTTTACGCTTTACAGGAATAGGAGCCATACTTGACTAGACATGACAACTATATATATATATATATATATATATATATATATATATGAGAATCACCAAGTATTATATATTAAAATAGATTGACTCTTCAATTTTTTGTTTTTAAAAAATAATGAAAACAATGTTTTTTTAAATAATTTTTTAAAATATAAGTCAACAAGTTTTGATTGAGTTTTATTCAAGGATGATTAGGACATAAATTTTTTTATCAGATTAAAGCAAATTATATTTATTTTTTCAACCAAAACCCTTATAAATTTTAAGTTGACTGAGTTCTAAATTAACATTTAATTCAATAAGAAAATTATTTCTGTTTGGATTGTATATTTTAATAGAAAATTAGCCTTTTACATTTGAATGAAATCTTGTTTTTATATTTTAACTCATGTCATTTTCACTCTCTTATAAAATTGATTTGAGTGACATTTCTGCATAGAAAGTAATGGCCCAAGTCAATAGAGGGCCTTTTAAGTCTTAAAACTAAACACCATTAAGGTTATGACTTCGTGCACACAGATAGGCTTCCAAGCCTTTCCATGCCCATGCAAATTGCAACAATTAAGAGAGCAGTTCTTGTAAAGGTAAGATTTCCTCCCTCCTCCTTTGAGTTTCTATTTTAATCTTTACGTTAGTAGTAGGAAAACATATATATATATATATATATATAACGTTTCCAAATATATATGAATATAGAGAAAAATCATAATAAAAAATGCTTGGCTCAGATGTACAATGGCGGAAATGGAAGTTGTCGATTACAAAATGATATTGGAATCTACAAGACACCTAAGAATTTTAAAACATCAGGAGGTCAAAAAAGGTCTCCCCAAGGAAGCCTTGGCCGCCTTCAATGTCTTCTCCCTCACATTCCTACCTTTCAGATACGGCATATGCATATCCGGGTGGGTCAAGGTCAGACTTTGAGAACTCCAAGAACAACGGGCTTTGAATTAAAAATAACCTCAATCATGTTTAGTAAAATTTTAAAATATAATTTATATTATTTTTTAATATATTTTAAATTTTTTTAAGTTTAAAATTTATGTAAATTTATAATATTTTATATTTAATTTTTATCAAATAAATAAAAATAATAAAATCACTATAACTTTCATGTGAAGGGTAAGGGTAAATTGTTCACTTCAAATTGTTCTTTTGTATAAACATTGTTGGTGGCTCTATATTATAAGTTGAATCATTTTTTTTAATATAAAAAAAATTAAATATTGCTAATAGAAATGTTTTCTAAAACAATGCAAGAATTGATCTGATCAACATAATAAATTTCAAAATAACTTGAATAATTAATAAAAATATAATTTGATTAAAAAAATTTAAAATATATATATATTGAGATAAGAACAAATTGGATCAATCCGAGTTAATATGTTAAATTTATATTTTAGATCGTAAAACTATGATAAAAACTCATAAAAAATAAATTAAAATAAATTATAAAATCTAATTTCTAATCAAAATAATATTAAAAGATGAAATTTAAAAAACTTTATTAAAAAAAATTTAAGGGGCTTGGACTCGGGTCATTCTAGAAAAATAAAAATAAATATTTAAATGTAGATTATATATATTGTAAATAATAAACTTTAAAAGATTATTTATTCTACAATTAAAAAGATATTATTTTTTACTTTTAAGTTGAAGTATTAAAAAAGAAGATTTATTGTCTCACATTAAAAAAATATAATTTTTTCTTATGAATATATAATATATATGGTAATAAATTTTTAATTTTATATTAAAAAATAAAATATTTTTTAAGTGTCTATGTAATAACTTTGATAATGACCGATAACTAATAAAAATAAATACAAACACACATTAAATAAAATTGAACTGATTACAAGAAAAATCTCCGATCGCTTTCCTTACCTATGTGAAACACCCACCCAAAAAAAATTCCTTACACCTCTGAATTAATTTTTTTCCTTTGTTAAGAAAAAAAAATACTTTATCCTGGGAAACACCCACACAAGCAAATATTTTTCAACTCTAAAAATATGTGAGTCTAGGTGTACTCAGACTATCAAAGTACGTGGGGGCTAGGTTTTTATGGATTGATTATTTTGTTTTTTAATAGAAAAATTATTTATTTTTAAGAAATACCAACATAAGCAAATATCTTCCGGTCTAATAAAGAACATATGATAGCCTAATTATTTTTAGATTAACCTTTCCGGATTCTTTTAAAAAGGGTCTTTAACAGGCTGGTCTCCTTCAAACCCGGTTGAAGATCTGAATCAACCTATCAGTTGGTGTCGGGCCTCATTATTATGTTCAAGAGAAACGTGATGATATAGTTCAGGTGTCAGAAAACAAGAAAATTCAAAATTGCTTGGCTCATACGTACTTATACTCATAACAATATTATACAAATAGAAGCTGGCAACTTCAAAATGTTACTGGAATCTTCTCATATTAGGAGCACTGACAATTCAAAATGATATTGGTGGATGAATTTCAAAGCATTAGTTTGTGAACATGGTCTCCCAAAGGCGGCCGCGTTCGACGTTTTTCAATTTTAATTACTTGCGTGATACGGAATGAATGCATGGGGGCCAAGGGCAATCCAAGCACGTAGGGATATAAATACTCATCTTGCTATGCACATAGGCATATATGAAGGGAGAGATGGAAATGACAGAGGATGTGGTGATAGTCGGCGCAGGCATTGCAGGGTTGGCAACGGCAGTGGCTTTGAAAAGAGTTGGGGTTCGAGCTTTGGTGTTAGAGAGATCACAAGGACTAAGGTCCACCGGTGCAGCCATATCCCTATTTCCGAATGCTTGGCTTGCCCTTGATGCTCTTGGTGTTTCTCACAAGCTCACCCGCATTTACGATCCTTTATTCAAGTAATAAATTGTTTCACTGTATACATCAATTCTTTTCTTTTCTTGATTTTGAATTTTAAGACATATATACTTTGTATGATCGATTAATTTCTGGTCTACTTTTTTTCTCTCACAATTCAGGGCATATGTAACCAATGCAAGTACTGGAGATGTTCAGCAAGTCCTCTTCCCTGCAGGACATGAACCTCGGGCAGTTCACCGTAAAGCGTTGTTAGAGGCACTGGCAGAGGAATTGCCAGCTGACTCAATTCGGTTCTCCTCCAAGCTAGCTGCCATTGAAAGTCAAGAAAAAGGAGGTGGTGCTTCCATTGCTGTAGTGCATTTGGAAGATGGGACTATAATCAAGTCTAAGGTTCTGATAGGCTGCGATGGGCTGCACTCAATAGTAGCGCATTGGTTAGGACTGGCAGAACCAGTCCATTCAGGGCGATCAGCGGTGCGCGGTTTGGCAATTTTTCCTCAAGGCTACGGGTTTAAGCAAGAAGCTCAGCAGTTTGTGGATGAGGGCAAAAGGGCTGGTTTTGTTCCTCTAAATGATAGGGAATTTTACTGGTTTTTAACCTGCAAAGGTCAGCACTCTTAAACCTTTTTTCTTTTCCATTTTAGCTAGTAGCTATCACAAATGTTGGCTCAAGCCAAGATCATTTCAGTGGAAATTTATGAAGTAACTTTCATTTCAGAGGAAAACATGACAAGAGATCCAGAGCAAATACAAAGACAAGTACTTGAGAAGCATACAGAGAGTTTTCCCTCGGTATACCTAGACGTGGTTCGACATGCGGATCTTTCGACAATAACATGGGCACCATTGATGTTTAGGCATCCATGTGGCATCATATTTGGGAATCTTAACAAGGGAAATATCACAGTAGCGGGTGATGCTATGCACCCCATGACACCTGACCTTGGACAAGGTGGTGGTTTAGCACTAGAAGATGCTGTGGTATTGGGCAGGCACATCGGCAATTCGGTCATAAAAAATGGAGGACTGGTTGTTCCAGGAGACATGGCCAAAGCCATAAATGATTATGTCAAGGAAAGGAGGTGGCGTGCTGCTGGGCTGGTCATAGGGTCGTATTTATCAGGGTGGGTGCAGCAAGGCGGATCAAAATGGTGGGTGAAGTTCTTGAGGGATAGAGTATTTTACAAGTACGTTTTTGGTTGGGTTGGTAGACTTGTGCATTATGATTGTGGAGAACTTCCTGCTGTGTCCTCTGGCAAGGAGGACTAAATTTCAACTTTGGCAGTGCATTATGACTCTGGAGAACTTCCTGCTGTGTCCATATTATTTATTTATCACAACAGAAATTATGTGACTATGGTTTTTTGTTTTTTTTATGGTTTCTTCCTTCAAGGAATCTTTTTAAATGATGTTGCTAGGTGTATTCAATCTAGGAGAGCAGATTAGATGATTAAGGGTTCTCAATATTTATCGGCACAAAGACCACACCTGAGAACGAATTTGTAAAGTTGGGATAACTTGGCATGGATGGAAGCATTGTGGGTTGTAAAGTAGCATTTTGATACTATTTTGGAATAAAAATATAAAAATAATAAGATAAAAAAGATATGTTTCTTTATACTTCCTATTAATACAGAAATTTACTTTAAAAATCATTTTGGAGGCCTTTTCTTCCTTTCTTTTCAACCATATATATATATGTATTCATTCATTCCTTCTTTCCTGGCTACAATCTAAAGAGATATGTTCCCTCGTTTGTGCAAGTGCTGGTTAAGGATTAGTTGTAATAAAAATCTTGTTATTAGGTTTTGACAGAAAGGATTTTTGATTAAAGAGAGGAATTCTGTTGACTTTTGAAACGATGTTTGTCTCACCCATTTTTGCTTGGTGTCAAAAGAAATATGATACTATGATGTGCTAGACGACGTCCCAAACAACAAGAAAATCCAAAATTGTCTTGGCTCTGACGAGCGTACAGTTGTGGAAATAGACGTTGTCGATTTCAAAATCTTATTAGAATCTTTTCATATTAATCCTGCTTGTAAGCTGTCTTAGCTAGCTTACCAAGATATTTGTCTCTTTCGGATTGGAATTGTGTTAAGCAGGAAATATTAAAAATTTAAGTTTTAATGTTATGATATTAAAAATATATTTTAAAAATAAAAATATATTTTTTAATATATTTTAAAAACAAATTAAAATATTTTAAAAAGCACTTAGATAAAGTGATTAATAACTCTGATTTTTTTATTAAAAAAATCCTCAATTTCTTAAAATAAAAAAAAAGGGATGGATTAGGTTAATTTATCCAATACACTATCGGATAGACTTACATAGAGTTGATCTACGAATCTGATCATAAAATAATAATATTAGGAGCACTTACAATTCAAAATGATATCGATGAATGAATTTTAAAGCATTAATTGGTAACCATTGCCTCCCAAAGGCAGCCGCGCGCGTTCAGCGTTTTTAATTCAGACCGCGTTTGGCACTGCGTTTAAAGAGTATTTCCTAAAAAAAATTGAAGTTTCTTTTTTATTTTGAACTAATATGTTTTTGATATTTTTAAATCATCATTTTAATATATTAATTTTAAAAATAATTTTAAAAAAATAAAAAAATATTATTAATATTTATGAATAAAAAATACTTTTAAAAACAACAAGAACCACGTCCTATTAATTACTTGCATGATACGGAATGAATGCTCGCGGGCCAAGGGCAATCCACGCAAGTAGTAGGGTTATAAATACCCATCATGCTATGCACATAGACATAGATGAAGGAAGAGATGGAAATGATGGAGGATGTGGTGACAGTCGGAGCAGGCATTGCAGGGTTGGCACAGCAGTGGCTTTGAAAAGAGTTGGGGTTCGAGCTTTGGTATTAGAGAGATCACAAGGGCTAAGAGCCACAGATGCAGCTTGGCTTGCCCTTGATGCTCTCGGTGTTTCTCATAAGCTCACCCCCGTCTACGCACCTTTATTCAAGTAATAAATTGTTTCACTTATATATACGCGCGCGTGTGTGTGTTAATTCTTTTCTTTTCTTGATTTTGAATTTTAAGACATATTCTTTGTAAGATTGATTAATTTCTATTCTACTTTTTTCTCTCTCTCGTAATTTAGGAGATATGTAACCAACGAAAGTACAGGAGATGTTCAGCAATCCCTCTTCACTGAAAAAGGACCGAGGACAGTTCACCGTAAAGCATTGTTAGAGGCACTGTCAGATGAATTGCCAACTGACTCAATTCGATTTTCTTCCAAGCTAGCTGCCATTGAAAGTCAAGAACAAGGAGGTGGTGCTTCCATTGCTGTAGTGCATTTGGAAGATGGGACTATAATCAAAGTCTTAGGTTCTGATAGTCTGCGATGGGGTGCACTCGGTAGTAGCACGTTGGTTAGGACTGGCAGAACCAGTCTATTCAGGGCGATCAGCGGTGCGCGGTTTGGTAGGTTTTCCTCAAGGCCACGGATTTAAGCAAGAAGTTCAGCGGTTTGAGGATGTGGGCAAAAGGGCTGGTTTTGTTCCTCTAAATAATATGGAACTTTACTGGTTTTTCGTCTGCGAAGGTCAGCATTCTTGGCCCTTTTTTCTTTCTAATTTTAGCCAGCACAAATGTCGGGTCAAGCCAGATCATTTCAGTGGAAAATTTATGAACAAATGTCCATTTCAGAGGAAAATATGACAGGAGAGCCAGGGCAAATTCAAAGACAAGTACTTGAAAAATATGCAGAAAATTTTCCCTCGATATACCTAGACGTGGACAGACATGCCGATCTTTCGACAATAACATGGGCACCGTTGATGTTTAGGCATCCATGGGGCATCATATTTGGAAATCTTAGCAACTGAAATATCACAGTAGCGGGTGATGCTATGCATCCCATGACACCTGACCTAGGACAAGGTGGTGGTTCATCACTAGAAGATGCTGTGGTATTGGGCAGACACATTGGCAATTCCGTTATAAGAAATGGGGGACTGATTGTTCAAGGAGACATGGCTAAAGCCATTGATGATTATGTCAAGGAAAGGAGGTGGCGTGCCGCTTGTCTGGTCACAGGGTCGTATATATCAGGGTGGAAGCAGCAAGGCGGAGCAAAATGGTGGATGAAGTTCTTGAGGGATGGAGTATTTTATAAGTATGTTTTTGGTTGGATTGCTGGACTTGTGCATTATAATTGTGGAAATCTCCCTGCTGTGTCCTCTGGTAAGGAGGACTAAATTCCAACATATTACAAGTTACATCATAGGAAGAGACTATTTGAGAACAAAGTTGTCCAACGTTCTCAAATCAAAAGTATTGACCCACAGCATTGGTCAAAGTAACCTTTTCTTCTTCTTCTTCTTCTTCTTCTTAATGTTTTTGTTATACTTTGTTGCATTTGTTTTCTCCGTTTAGAAAGTCTATTAAATTATATTGGATTAAATATTGTAGCTACTTGGAGTGTCTATGAAGGATGTATTGGTGAAGGTTCATGCATCAAAGTGTGCATATATTTTTTTTTTCCCCCTTAACACTGAAAATAGAAAGATTAAGGTTAAGTTTGGTACAACATTTGTAAAAAAAATTTAAGTATTAGAAATAATTTTTCATTTAAATTAAATTTTGTGAAAAAATTAGGTTAAATTTTTTTTTAATCAAAAGTTGAAAATTTTAAATTCTAACTTGTGAATTATAACTTATAGTACATTTTTTCTTTGAAAAAGTTGATTTGAGTCATTTTTACCAAACATGTTTCTATTTTAAGTCATTTTAACTCATTTTGTCATATATTATTTTTGAAAAACAACTATTTTCTATTTTAAGATTTAATTAGTGTGTGCTAATCTTATTTTGTTACCAATATTATTATTGACTGAATCAAATATGGGATAAATAAACAAATATATTTTTGAAGCTATATTATCTTCAAATTACACAATGGGAGATAGTTTTATATATCCCATTACATAATAACTAAGAAAACTAAAATTAGTAATACTTGAACCTTCACAAAAAAGAAGTTACCAAATACAGAATCACTAAACTATGCATACTTGTGTCCTGATTTATGGTGGCTATCCATATCCAATCTTGGACTCCATCTAGTTTTTTCATCAAAGTTTGGATCTTTTAAATGCTACTAATTTAAAACAATTCAAACTATGCATACTTGTGTCCTGATTAAGTTTTTTCATCAAAGTTTGGATGTTTTAAATGCTACTAATTTAAAACAATTCATGTAAATATATATATTAAATAATAAAATTTAAAAGATTATTTCAAAAAAAATCTTACCCTACATTAAAAATATATTTTCTCTTTTAAAATTAAAGCATTTATAATAAAAAGATTTATTATAGCATACTGTAACATATTTTTTTTCTTGTGAATATATAATATATATACTAATGATTTTTGAATTTTATATTGAAAAAATAAGTGTTTCTATAATAAAGTTTATATGAGTTTGCAATTAACCACAAAAAAAGAAAAAGAAAAAAAGGGATGGTATACTTGTATGCATAAAATGAGACCGAGTAAGAGGAAAACTTCTTATTGCCCCCCGCTTGGTTTTTGAGAGCACCCCCTTGAGCAAATATCTTTCACTTCTAATAAGAGTCTATGTGCATTCCAACTTTATAACAACTCGGTTTTTGTTAATTTAATTTGTTAACTTGTAAAAAATAAAATTCAAGCAAAATTTAAAAACCATCACTAACCCTCCCCCCACTCCGTCAAACCTGATGATACCACTGCAAGTTTCAAAAAGTACCTGCGAACAAAATCAATTTCATCTAAATTAATTTGATTTGATATATTTACATTTCACTTTTCTATAATTTAATTGGATATATTTACCATAATTTCAAAATCAGTTTCATCTAAATTAGGCTATAGAAAGAGAGAAAAAAACCTTCTGAAGTTCAAAAACTTGAAACTTTGAGGCACTAAAATTTCAGTGATTAAAAACACACACGTTGTATGAAACAAAGCTCTCTTGTTTGTCTTGAAATATAGAAAAACTAAATGAAAGGATTTCTCCCCAAGGTTGTCTCTCCACGCTTTCTCCTCCCATTCTGGGGTGACTCGAAACATACATGCTATGGAAGAATCTTCCTGCTATTTTTAAAGGTCGAGCTGCCCAAAGAAACCTAACGTCATAGCCCAACAACTGTATACTTACAAAACGCAGAAACAGAAAGAGGGGGGGAGGGAGTGTATGGAAATTGTGTATTTCTTAGAGCAAAACAAAAATGAAACGTCCAGTTCCTGAACCTTTCAACCTTGGAGCATCAATCCCATTTCAGTATATAACTTAAAATCTCAATACAAAACACATTTGACCTGAGAGAAGACAGGAGTATAAGAAACAATAAAAGTTCTGTCAAAGTATGTTTTTCATCGGCCCCAGTACTGAAAAAAGGATCCCTCCTGCTCTCGATTCCAGCATCCTCTCCTTTCTCTAGAACTTAACTGAACTTCGTGTTCCTTATTGTTTCAAGTGACCAGATACCTCCCGGCACCCCCAAAGAATGATAAGCTCTCATTATTTTTGAAATAACATGGGGTTCCATCTTCTGTGCTTAAAACAATGGAAAGAAAGGGAGAGAATGGAATGGAGAGGAAGGATAAACAAAGGTATACAGATCTCACACTCCAAGGGGATTTCTCCACAGTGAAAACCTATAGTAGAACTGTCAAGACTGCACAGCTAACCTCTGAAGATGCTCAAAGAAAACTTGAAGGCTTACATCATCTGTGAATATTATGTCCGACCCAGCTGCCATCTCATTGGCATTATTGTATGTAGCTGATGGGTTCAATTTTGCCAATAAGAACCTTGCCTGCTCAGTATGACATGAGAAAAGGAAGAGAGTGAGTTTTATGAAATAACAAACCTTCCAGTGCGCACTAAATGCAGCAGTCCATTCAAGGCATCCAATATGAAGTCAACAAAACTACATATCACAGTATTTTATTGCTCATTGGGCAATGAATTAATTTTTGAAGCAAAGGAGGGGGAGCAAGAAAAAACTAACCTGGGATCCATGCTGATCACATACAACCAATCTAGGAACAGGAAAACGATCATGAATGATCATTTGAGCATCTTCTTTGGGTGCTTGCAATAGTTGTGCAAATGCCTGCAGAGAAAGGAAGTGTTACAGTTACAATGAGAGTTAACAAAAGAAGGAACCGAAGACATTCCCATATCTGCACGGTACATCCCACAGAATTGGCTTTAGGGCACTAATTACGGAAAGAATAGCTAAAACAAGAGTTTAAGTACTTCATAATTCTACTAAAAACCTGGGGGCATAAATAATTAACAATACATTAAGAAAATCCATACAAAACGCCACCTGTAACCCAACAGTTCTTGAATTCCTCTTGATTTCTTTAATTCAACAGTTCTGTAACTCAAAATTCAGGACCTCCTTACTAGGAGGCACCAATTAGACTGAAGGTCCACTGGTAAAATTCTAGCCATATTCAAATTCCAATTTGATCAAAAAAGTTTTTGAAAAATAAAACTAGCCAAGAAATTTAAAGGAAAAATCAACAGGATTACATCCGTGTTCATCACCCATGCACTCATAGAACACACATCTTGACATTTTCTCCTAGTTTTGCACATGGTAAGTATGATGCCAAACAAAAGAAAATTTGCAGACATCCATATCAAAAAGTAAATTTATGGAGGGATTCATATCCCAGCATCTTCTATACATCTAGCTAGTTTTAATTTCAAAACATGCTCTCTGAGTTGAGAGGTTAGATAGATACAGGAGCAAGATTTTCATTATCATGTCAATAATTGACAGCAAAACTCACATCTGGGAGATCCTCAAGCAATGAACATTCATATAACTGTCAATGTTGCTCCTTGCTCCTAAGGACTCAAAATCCCATAAGAGCCAAAGGGTAATCAAAATACCTGATATATGGCTTACATGCCATTGCAGAATAAATAGCTTAGGGTTCTAAGTTCATCTCAAATTTAGGCCACTGTGAAGGTACCACAAAGCAACGAGCAGCATACCTGGTGCTCTGGCTGATTCTGGTAACCCAAGTTACGCCACTGAGCTATTGTCATTCCATGAAATATGACAACACTGAAGTATGAATCAAGTAAGAGAATACGATCAGCACCAATAGAAGCGACATCCAATAATGCAGGTTGAGGCAGTGAGTTGAATGAATATGATATGAGAGATGGTTGAATCATGACAGCGGCATTGGTAATGTTTTCACGGTTTAACAACATGCGGAAATAAGCTGTCTCATCTGGGCTGTTATTGAAAACCTGATGAAATCAAATAAAGGAATATATAACAAACCCTTAAAATGCACACATGTGAAAATACTTCAATTTAAGCATAAAACAAAAATGAGAATTAGAATAGCAGATGGACTCAATGTCAATTAGTTACCTGTACAAATTGCGATCTTCGCAGATTAAACAGAAACTGAGGGAAGAAAGAGAAAAACGAGTTCAATGTAAAGGATGTTGGATCATCCTTCCGATATTCACCAAATCTGGAACAGACACGAATGAGATTTCGGTCTAACCACCTAGTGGCATCAAATCCTTCCTGTGAGAGAAACCCCAGCAAGAGTGAGTAAGGAAATAATATCTTAGGAGCTACATGCAAAAAAATTGCTAAGGAATCAACAATGAATTGCTGCTTTTACAAAGTGGGACATAATTAGCACCAAGAAAACTGTAAATAAAGGATGGTAGAGAAGATGGCATTACAAGAAAGCATCTGCTGAAACGAGGGCATATAAATATTGAAACAATAGGTAATCCTTGGGAAAAAATTCAAATACAAAACAAGTTACCTCCTTGTACTTATTTAGGCAGACATGGAACAGTAACAAACTGACAACAAACAGGATCGACAACATTACCATGGCCAATTGGATATTTAAGAAAAAGAAAAGTTCAGGTAAGAACAGCATATGCAGTAAACGTAAAACCAAATAAGAAATGCAAAACAAATAAATTTTGGAACTACCTCTGCCTCCATTTTCAGAGATGTTAATCTCGCCATTACCACAGCTGCAGTCTCTTGGTCAAAACCTTGAACTAATTCCTGCAAGTGTGGAAAAATTCATTCATATAAGCACTAATTCCTCAGTTGATCCATTTTCAATAAACGGTGCAAGATACACGAATAAACTTAGCATTTGAGAGACCAGACACCATACATCTAATGATACAGGCTCTTGAACAAGGGAAACATTTTACAAATTCTAAAGGACTCAAAGGACTACATAATCAAAGTTTAAATCTGCATCACCTGGATTCTATAGGGCATATCTAACTAAAGCAAAGAAGCTGACAGATTGTATATCCTAAACAAGACAACAAAATGGTACTATTTTTATTTTCAATCAAGCAAACAAGGAGGCACCTCAACAACTGAACATAACCTCACACAACAAATCTGCCATATCTATAGAACATAACGAACCTCAGAGTTAGCAGCACTATCCACCCATCTTCTAGTGACGGTTGTGACCCGCAGCAACATATGACCCTCGGGATTTTGATAACTGCAATAAAACAACAATACAGTACGTGATTACCAGATGGATGCTGTCAAAAAAAGAAGTTGGCATAGCATAGAGAAGAAAAGAAAGAAGACAGAGGACACTCTCCATCACATACCTTGTGAGAAACTGTAAGTATAACTGTGGATTCATAGCTCCAGGATTATTTGACTTTTCACTTGATGAAAGATCAAAGAAGACAGTCAGACAAGTACTCTTATCAAGGCCACACATCTTCCAAGCTGTTGTATTCCCTTCACCAATAACAGTATCGGCAACACTAGGTCCTTTCTGCAAGGGTCTAGTAATAGTTAGTATCAAAACCAATCTAGCTTTAATTTAATGAAGAGAAAAGAACAAAATCACATTTTCTGCCTGCATAAGATCCAAAAACAAAATAAAGAAAACAAAAAAAAAAATCAATGGCTGTAGATGGTTCAACCTTCTCCATAGAGGTGCAAGGTCCAATAATCCCCTGAATTTTGATGTCCTTTGAACAGTTAATCTCAAGTGTTCCACTGCAAATATATAAGAGAAATCATATCAAAGCCTAAACAGTCCAGGAAAGAGTACATGCGGAAGCTAACTAAGGGGAAAACAAAGCACGTTATGCATCTATCTGTTCAGACTTCAGAGTAAGCAAGATCAAACATCAATTCCATAACAACAACAATTTGTTTTACAATGATGACTCACTTAAAACAGAGGCCAAGTGAATGTTCTCCATTTTCAAATACACGCTTGAAGGAGTCCTTAAACACAGAATGTCCAAAACTTTCTGAGAGAACAACAAGACCACCAGTTCTTTCTACCGCAACTTTCATTTCTGCAACCCCAACCTAAGAAATGCAGCAGTCACAGGTCAAAATGATAAGTAAAGACACTGCCATATATGTCTTTTCTTTTTCGAAAATTAAAGAGCTTGTAGCTTCTTCTTTTCAATAAATCTTGCTTGGCATTTAATGTAAGCAGAGATGGATTCATTAACAAAACACTTGAATGAATGGGGAAAATGGGGAAAAACAATATTTGTAGTTTATTAATTGTTCTGATAAGCACTCTCTTCCAATTGTTATATTTTTCTTCCACTGTAGGTTTAGTGGGCCAACTTTACATTAGTGAGGCAACGAATAGTAGATGTCTTTATAAGATTTAAAGCAAGAACAAGAAATACCTGATCCAAAGCAGATGCAAAAAGGTCCAGAACATGACCCTGACTGACAAGCTGCTTTGCAAGACTATCGTAAAATTTTACTGCTTTCTTAAAATATGGTGCTGCATCCTTATCAAGATCCTTGTGGGAACGTACAGGATCAGACAAGTCTTTTGATATAATCTGCAGAACTTCAAAATGATCAGCATGTTCATAATCACCAAGAAATGATGAAACAAAAACTAGCAAATTTCGATTTGAAAAGTAAAACCACATCTCACTAAGCTAATCTCACTTCAATCTAGCACCAAGAGATTACTTCATAGAGATAACACAGCATAGAAATGTATTGAGGCCAAACACAGAACCTGGAAGGGCATCTGATCTATGCATTTTAAAATGTCATGGGGAACATGGATTGTTCTTCCACGTGTAACAAAATCAATATGTAGGATAGTAAGTATAGCAACCACTAAATTTCGATCCAACACGGCATCCATAAGAGATTTTAACTTTAGACCGTACAGTGTGATCCTATCAATAGTCATGAACACTGGGGAATGGGGGGGCAAGGCAGAGAAAGAGAGAGCTAATAAGTTATGCAATCAAAACATGCACCGGCGCCACCATCATCATTATAAATCTATCATAGTTTGACTTATGATCCAACGTTAAGTGAATTACTACATAACAAAAAAACATCATGGAGAAAGAAAAAAAAGCATCCTTCTGGGACATTAAGCAATAGATTTGATGTTAAAACCACGTTCAAAAGAAACAAAAAAGAGCCATAACTCAATCTGAAAACATATCACCAATAAATAATGTGAAGCCATCAGGCAATGAGTGACGTACATTGATATTTGATTAGCATGCATTGATCAGATTTAAGAATACATTGAAAGCAATCAACTCAATGAAAATAATATAAAATTGAAGGGAGGAGATGTGTATAACCAATGCATAATTACATTACCAACAAGCCAAATACAAACTGGATTAAATTAAGGGGAAAAAAGAGGGTAAATCAATAGATCTAGATCAAGTTCAAAGGCATTACCGTGCCTGGCCCTTCGGTGCAAGGACCACCAACTAAAGCTACAATTCTAGCTCCAACACCGGGCAAACAAGCTCCAAGCAATCCAGCTGCAACACTCAATGCTACTCCAGTACACCTTGAAGCCCGAGTTCCTGGTGCCACCGGCCATTGATCCGTTTGCAACTCATCCAAGAGCTAAAGATGACCAAAAAAACCTTTTTTCCTCAGTTAACAACACAAAATCTACATTTCAAATAAAAAAAATAGACAGAAAAAACAAAAAAAAAATCCCAATTTTCGTCAATCACCAAGCAATAAAATTCCCAATTTTCCTTGATCAACAAACAAGTCACATCCCAAATCGTAACCAAATCAAGCCCCAATTTTCCTAAAACTACAAACAATCTACAAATCAAATTAAAAATACACTGTCATAACGCACCGAATTGAGCGTAAATTCACAGTCAGATGCCGGCAATAAAAACCGGGTCACACCTGAATTCTGAACATGCATCCCCTTCTGCTGCTGATACCCACCAACACCAGCACCAGGAACATTCCTCCTGCCAGCAACACCAATACCTAACTGCTCCATAACCTGATCTTTACTAATCTCTTTAGTCCCTCTAAAAACATAAACTTTCGACATATCACTAAACCCCAATTCATGAACTTGCACTTGTGTCCCAAAAGACACAAAACCCACCATTGCATTCTCCGGTAACAACCCAATTGCCCTCTTAACCTCCGATTTCACATACTCAAATTCTTCCTCAATCATACAAGTATCCAAAACAAACACAAACGCAGACTTAGCATCAATTTCCCCAACTGGGTTATGATTCTTATCACCTAAAGTATACTCTATCGTCGTATACTGGGTATACAACTCAGCCGGGAGATTGGTCTCGGAGATCATGGAATAGTGGGGAGGAAAATGGTTGCGTTGGTAGCAGAAAGGACAGATCCAGATCTTAGCGGTGAAATCGACACGCGAGAAGCAATTCATGATGGATGTGCAGGTTTTGCAACGGAGAGGAGGGTAAGGGAGAGTAGGGATTTCTGAGTGTGGACGTATAGGGGAGATTGATGCGGCTAAAGGGATAACGCATTTGGATGCTTCGACTTTGGTTCTGGGCCAGTTGTTCCATGTCATACGGACTGAATCTATGCCTTCTGGATCTGTGTTTGGGATTTCTGACATGGTTGACGATGATAATTGAGGGGATAGAATTCTGGGGGGTTAGAATTTAGGGTGGCGACCCCTGAGCGCAGGAGAAGGGGGTCACCGGAGCGAAAGAGGGAGGGAGGGAAGGTTTCGGGGAGAAGGAGAGAGGTTTGGCTTTTGTTTGTTTGGCGTTTCTGTTGTGCGTGTTTTATTTCGGGGGGAATTTTACAGTAAAATGTTAATAAAGTAGGATTAATATTGATAAATTATTAATTTATTACATCATAAATTAAAAAAAAATGTAAATATGTAAATTTTTGTTTACATAATACATGCGTGTGGTTAGTTATATTCATAGATATTTTTTTTTTTAATAAAAGTATTTATTCTGTACAAAATTTTGAATATGATTTTTTTATAATATTTAATAAGTACTATGATAATAAAATAATATAGAGATAATAATATTGATTATGATAATAATTATAATGTTAATAACAGTAATAGTGTTGTGGTGATGAAACAGTAGCAGTGACGAAATTATGATGAAAATAATAATAAGAATAATAATAAGATTAATTAAGATTGGAGCTGGTAATGAGATAGAAATAATAGCAATCTACTTTTATTAAATCTATGTTATCCCATGAGTTATTATTATCTTTACAAATGAAAAAAAAAAAAAAAAGTCTTACAAAGAAAGAACAACAGAAGAGAACGGTTGCCTGTAACTCTTTAAAAAGTTAAATACGATTAAGGTTCATTAAAAGAGAGTGTTCAAGGAGCGTCATGGCATTCCTTTTCAAAATTTAATCATTCAAGATTATTAATTTAATTTTTATTTTTATTTTTTTTCATAGCATTTGGTTCATAGATTTTTTTACGAGGATAACCCTTAATTATCATTAATAAAGTGTAAAATCTTCGGAGTTAAAAAATTATATTTCTTTTTAAGTTTAAAGAGTACAATTTAATTGATCAAGTTCTAAATTTATTTTTTAAAAATTACTAATTTAAATTTTATAAATTTTAAATTATTAAAAATTTATATAATTATTAATTTAAAAATCCATAAAATTAATCAAAATATATATAAATTAACCTAAATGAATTTGGTGAAGTGGCTAACACTTGATGTGCTTACAATGACTGGATTTAGTCGCTGGTCTCCTGGGTTGGTACGGTAACTTATTTGTTCACTTGCAAAAACAAAATTCCTATCAGGAAAAAGAAAAAGAAAACTCTGATATTTAAATTAATTAATGCAATTAGAGATGAGCGTGTTGAGCGAAGGAGTAACGCGAGAGGCTAGAAAAATGTGTGCAGAGGAGAACAACAACAGGTGAGAAGCAATGATTATGTTACTTGTATATTTTGCTTTCAGCATAATTCTATGAGGAATAATTAACTATTGAAAATTGAATGTTCAATCTATCATATTTAATTTAAGATATTTATAAACTTTAATCACCTTTCGTTAACTTATCTGTAATGATTATGAGTATTTGAAAAATTGAGGAATTGGTTATTGTATGTTAACGTACCATTGACGGAGAGGATTGATAGTGTACGGAATAGACAATGGGGGAACACGATATATATATTTCTTAACATCGGGAGATTTCCACAATTGGCACTAGGGCTGCATCCCCTAGCTGTTTTGGGCCAAACTCGTGTTTTTGGCTATTAAAACTTGTATAGAAATGTAATTATGATTATTTTTTAAATAATTTTTTATAATAAATTATATATTAATAATATTTTTTTATTTTTAAAAATTATTTTTGATATTAGCATATTAAAATAATTTAAAAACACTAAAAATATATTAATTTAATAAGCAAGTCTATAAATTTAGTGTACGAACAAGCAAACCCTAGACACACGATTTGCCAATCATGTCCCAAGCTGCACACATTTAGCGCTAGAGTTGCATACCCTAAATGTTATGGCAAGACCCATGCACCTAGTTATAGACTCAGGCGAGTTGGTTTGCAGAACCTAGTATTTGGGGTTTGTAGAATCGTGCGCTTGGGTTTATAGACCACCGTGTTAGGTGTAGACCAACATACTAGAGTTTGTAGACCCGCTCCACTAGATCTAGACTCATTGGTAATGGACCCAAGGCTAATGGATTTTGTCTCAAGACCCAATTATATTAGGTCTTGTGTTAGGACTCAAGACTAATGAGTTCTATGAAGGACACAATTCTCTTGGGTCTGATGTCATGACCCGAGGTTTTAAAGCCTTTAATTTCTAAATATTATTATATGTGTTATAAATATTATTATTTTTATTATAATTAATAGTATTTATATTAAAATATTATTATTATAGGTAATAGGTCCTATGTCAGGATCCAATTCTTTTGGATCTTAGATCAGGATCCAAGGCTAATGGATCTTACAACGAACCCCAATTCTCATGGATCCTGCATCAAGATCTAATTTTCTTGGGTTTAGCGTCAGGACCCGAGGTTCTAGAGTCTTTGGTTTCTAAATATTATTATTTATGTTATAAATATTATTATTTTCATTATAATTAATAGTATTCATATTAAAAATATTATTATTATAGGTAATAGATCCTACACCATGATCCAATTCTCTTAGATCATGCGTTAGGCCCAAGAATAACAGGTCCTGCATCAAGACCCAAGGTTAATAGGTCTTACGTCATAACCCAATTCGCTTGGGTCTAACATCAAGACCCGCTTCTCTTAGATTTTGTGTTAGGACCCAACGCTATTGTGTTCCATGAAGAGCCCAATTCTCATGAATCCTGCGTTATAATTCAATTTTTTTGGATCAAGCAAATGATTCAAGGCTAATGGGTCCATCGTTTGAAACCAAGATGCATCAGCACCTAAGGTGAATGAGTCCTAGGGTGGACCCAATTTTCTTGGATCCCGTGTAAGGATCCAAGGTCCTATAGTTTTAGGTTTCTAAATATTATTATTTGTATTATAAATATTGTTATTTTTTTATTATAATTAAAAATATTAATATTAAAAATAGTATTATTTGTGTTATAAATATTATTATTTTTATTATAATTAAAAGTATTAATATTAAAAATAGTATTATTTATGTTATAAATCTTATTATTTTTATTATAATTAAAAGTATTAATATTAAAAATAGTATTATTTCTGTTATAAATCTTATTATTTTTATTATAATTAATATTATTAATAAAATAATTAATAAATTTTAAAAAAGCATTATCAATATTAAACACTGTGGATTGCTATAGTGTTTCTCCACATGATTATTTTTATTGTTTTTTTTGTTATAATTTTTTTCAAAATTATGTTTATCAATTTTTTAATTTTAATATTGAGCTGTTTGAGAATTTAGCTTTATAATTTTTTTTATTACACTATAGATTACTACAATATTTCCCTACATGTTTTTTTATGACTTTTTTTAAAATTATCTTCGTTGATTTTTTTTTTAATATTAAGGTGTTTGAGAATTACAATTACAATAAAACTAAATCATATTGGGAAAGCATTGTAGCTTTCCACACAAAATATTATGGATTGTTATAGTGTTTTTCATATATTTTTTTTTATTATTATGAAATTTTTCAAAATTATCCTTGATGATTTTGATTTTGTAATTTGAGATGGTTAAGAATTTAATTTTGTAATTTTTTTTAATTTTTACAAATAAAACTAAATTATATAGAAAAATACTATAGTTTTCCTAACAAAACACTATAAATTGCTATAACTCATTCTATTTAATCTTTAAATTTTTTATCACCAATATAATTTTTTTATTAATAAAATATTAACTCCACCACTTCTTTAATTTTTATTATTTATTTAGTGCTAATTTATAATTATAATATATTTATTTTATAAACACAGAACAACACCCGGGCATGCCATCTACTACTAACAATTCGTCGTAAGCGGAGGGTGACGAGAGGCCATTATTGGACAGGTGGCGGCCTGTGTCAATCGCTAGGCTTGGGAATTTAACCTTTATTTGAAAGAGTTTAAGATTATTGACGTTTTGTTTTTTCTCTAAACTTCTATAATTTTAATGCTTCAAAAAAATAATCTAATTTCTTTCTTATATCTAGAAGTTGCCTTACCTTGGATTTAGTTTTCATGCATCGCAAATAAATGCTCGGACGCTCGGGGGGAAAATGAAAGGAAACTCTCTCTATTACCCTTGAGCTTGCCTTGTTGCCGTAGCCACCGCAACCCGTACTTTGCAGTGGGCAAGACTTTATTTTTCAGTGAAAAAACGTTGTACAGACAAGTTTTTTTACATCTGAAAAAGTTTCAAGCAAAAATAAAAAATTTTATTTGTAAATATATTTAAATAAATTAAAATTTTGTTAGTTTCTGCATTTTAAAAGTGTTTGTAAAAAAAATTAATTTTTTTTTATTTTTTAATTAACTTTAAATTAATATATTTTTAGTGTTTTTAAATCATTTTGATGTACTGATATCAAAAATAATTTTTAAAAAATAAAAAAATCATTAACATATATTTTAACATGAAAAATTATTTGAAAAGTAATAACAACCATATTTCCAAACAGACCCTAAGTATTATGTGTATTAATGAATTAAAAAAACATAATTAATAATTTTAAAAGGTAAAAAATTAAGAAATAAATGTATTTTAAAAACAAATAACGGTTATTTAAAAGAAAATTTTTCAACAAAATTAAATAGGAAAGTGGACCAATCAAATCCTAGACTAAAAAGAAAAACTTTGAAAACATCATTTATTTGTAGTGTGTTTTTTATTCAAATTTTTTATCTTTTAATTTTATATTTTAGCTTTTAATTTTGGCTGTACTTAATAAATCAACTCAATTGACTTTGAATATGGTTAAGAAAGGGTCAAAGTGAAAGAAAGTTTTTGCACGGCTGGTCTACAGTGAAATGTTAAGGGGTGTGCATTGTGGGCATCTATGATAGATAACCAACGCGTTTATAGTTTCTTTGCTTAATGGTAGAATAGTTTTTTTTGCACTGTGAGCATCCATGATGGATAGCTTAAGTTGATGTGTAGAGCTTTTCAATAAACTGAATATGAAGGGAGTTAATTTAAAGTAAATACGCAATGCATTATCATTCCAAAAGCAACTGCAGTATAATGAAACATTGTTTGATGAGTTGAAAGGCTGATAAAAACAAAAGGCTGCATGAACCCTAAACAAACCAAGGGCATCTATTTTGAA